GTTTTAGTTTCTCTGGAAATGGGTATCTTGGCTTGGAAGAGAGGATTATAAGCAAAAGGACAATCAGAGTGATGGGCTATGGACAGGGGCAGAGCAAGGAGAGGAGATGGAGCGATGGATGTTTTTGATGAAGACAAGAATTTATTAATGGTGAATAAGAACACCTGAGCAAGAAAGAAAAGAGGAAGTAAAACAAAGGAAACCTAGGGTAACAGGCATTCGGGATGGCGTGGTTACTGGTGGTGACCACATCCAGGGTGTGCCCCTGGAAGCCAGTGGCTGAGGGGGAGAGGAGGAGAGGATCTCAAAGCTGAGGGGGGGGGTGGGTGAGTCATCCTGTGGATGTTGAAGTCATGGAGAATGGCATGAGTTGGGGTGGGGAGGAGAACCCAACGGAGGAAGCGGTGTCCTCACTCAGGTTTCACATAAGCAAGAGGAAACAGGATAGATAATCTTAATTAGGATGAGTTCCTACTCTGGGGATACAGTATGGATGGGGAAGCAGCTCCTTCGGGCTCTATTCTTTCCTTCCATCTATCTACCTGCATTCTCCATTCATCCATCCATTCATCCACTCATCAATCTATGTACACCATCCGTCTATCGGCCTAATCTCCCACCCATCCCATTTATTCACCTGATGACCCATCATGTGTCTTATCTCTTTCCATCTGTTACCCACCAACCACTCTTTGGTCCATCTTCTGAATCTTTGCTTAGAGTTTAGGAAGATGAAAGCTGCAATTCAGGCTAATTACTATTCTAACAGCAGGAGCCCTGAGGAAGACAAGGCGGAAGCCTGAATGATGATGACCACTCCCTAGGGAAGGGGCATATTGAACTCAACTAAAGAGGGATATCCCCAGAAGGGAAGGAAATGGGAATGTCCTAGACTGCAAGACAGACTAGCTGCAATGCCTGTGCCTCTTAGGAGATGAAGCCAGAGGGACAAGGAATAGCCAGCAATTTGGCTGCTCCTCTACTGTCTCAGAAACTTACATAAAAAAAAAAAAAAACCACCAAAGAAAGCTGAGCTTCCAGTTAACCACAGTCCTGCAACTGGCAATTGCCAGGAGTGTGCACAGATGTACACTCCCAATTTCACTGGGGAAATGTCCTCTCTCCGAAATGGGGTTGAGGTAGATGGGCACTGGCCATGGAAGCTCTCTTCATACACCACATGTCACCTTCACCCTGACCTCCATCAGGGGCCATCAGTAGGGAACAGTTCTCTCACTCCCACAGCTCAGTGGGACATGCCCAGCACACCACCTCCTTCTGTAGCTCAGATTATAGACCACTGTCCACTCAGTCATCTACGTGTTTGCCCAGCTGTTTACCTAGCATGGCCTTATTCATTTTTCAGTGCTTAGCAAGGGGGAAAAAACTACTTCAAAGCCTAGCTCCACAAAGACCCTCTTGGGATTCCTTCAAGCCCTGAAGTTGAGCCTTCTGCAAGCTCTCTCCCCAGCACAGTAGATGTCTCCTCAGACTCAGACCCAGCTGACATGCATAGAAGGTCAGGTACCCACTCGTTTAGAGAGCAATCTGCGGAGTCCAGACCCTACTCGCCTAAGAACCTAGAAAGCTGTGTCCCAAGGCCAGGGCTGCTGGTCTGCCTGTCAAGAGCTGAGCACAAAAGGAAGGCCTTGGCAGCAGTCACAGCAGCTGGCAAACAGGCAAGCAGCTACCTTCACAGGACAGAACTTCAGTCCAGTGGAGGCCTCAGTTTCCCTGACTGCACCATGGGACTAGATACTTAATAAGGTCCCAAGCAAATTTGACTGGGAGGTGATGGGGATAGAAGAGAGAAAATAGTTCCAAATTGTAACCAGAAGGGAGGGACCAGCAGGTATTGACTGGTGGCCCTGCTGTCTGCGTGATGCTGAAATGAGACCATGGTGTGTGGAGTGTGTTTTCCTGGCATCGTACCACTGGGTCAGGTGACTTGTCGTCAGGGTGTGTGGAACCATCCATAGTGGGATGCTCCAGGCTCTCTTCTCCCTCCCAACTAGCTATAAGGCAGGAATCTGGGATACAGAACCAGCTGAGGAACCAAACAGTCTGAGTTGCTGCTCCAAACCCCAAGGGCCTGTAGGACTAAAAGGGGCTAAGGGCAGGAGAGTGGGCCTTGACCACCATCCCTGGAGGACAGGGAATGGGGGGAGGGACAGGACACAGCCCTGGGCCTCTAGCCACACAGTCCTCCCTTCCTGTTGTCTCAGGATGATCCTGGCAGGATACATCTGCCGAAGTTCCAGGGCCAGATCTCCCCCAGGCCATGCTCCCCACTGCCCCCATCAGGAATTCACTCCCTCAAGTGCGTGTATATGCAATGGAGAACCTGTCAGAGATACATAACCATGCACACTTGCGCACACATCACTCAGAGATATGCGTATCATCACACCCAGGCCCACAGACACAAATGGATGTGTTTACACAGAAGACGCCACTTGTACACATGTGCAGACACACGTATGTGCATGTCACATACACATCCTCCTAAAAGATGGATTATGGGTACAGAACTGTGTGAGCCACAGAGGTGGGATCCTGTAGAGCAGAGAGCCCTCACCTAATCAGCGTAGCCATTGAAGGCAGAAGGTGGGTTTGCAGGCCAAAGCAGGTTCATTTGCATATCCAGAGAGGAGCACCATGGGAAGGCCTGAGGATGTGGAAGAGACCTGGGCAGGCAAAACCCAGAGAAAGTTCAGATGGGCAGAGTGGAGAGAAGCTGGCAGAGCCTAGAAACCGTGAAGAAAGGAACCTGGGAGAGGGCAAGGTCATGGGCTGAGCATGGGCCTAAGATACATGAACCCCTCATTAGCAGTAGGTATGGATGTCGGATTCAGGACAGAGTGGGATCTCAGACAAAACTGGGGGGTTTCCTCACTCTTCCCCAGTTCTCTGCTACCCCCATCCCATAGGAGGAGACCTGGAGGTTCCTCCTCTTCCTGCTTCCTGCTAGCAGCTTAGCTCATTTAGGGTCAGTTTCCCTGACTGCACCATGGGACTAGATACTTAATAAGGTCCCAAGCAAATTTGACTGGGAGGTTTTAGGGTCAGAGGTCAGGGCAGCAGTCAAAGTTAGTTGGGATTGGACTCCATTTGTGGACAGAGACAGGGCTTTGATGAGGACCAGTGGCCTTGACCAGAGTGAGGGACAGTTTGTGGTGGAGATTGACAGTTGTTGTGGAACCTTTGGGTTGATGCTGTAGTCAGAATACCCTGGGAAGACAAGGCTATGCTGACTGAAAGCCACTCGGCTAACCCTGCCTTGGGGAAACATCCCAGAAGGCCCAACTGTGCCTGGACAGTGTGGGAGCTGTCACGTGAACCCATGATGTAGCACCCCTGTAACCTTGTCTTTCACCCCAGATTTGGCAAATGGCTACTCCATGACCCCTCCAACCTTGAACATCACAGAGGAGTCATATGTCATTGACACCGGGGACAGCCTATCGATATCCTGCAGGTATGGCTCCTCCCGACCTGGCAGTCAGTCCATGAAGCCTTCCCTAGACTGGGACAAGAGGCGGCTGGCTGAAGAACCACAAGGCCCCTTTTCCACTGAACATAGGCCTAGAGATGTGGTCTCCAAGAAGCCCTCAGAAAGGCACCCTGCACTCATCCAGCCTCCCCTAAAACCTCTTCCAGGTCACCTACATCCATCCTCAGCCACCTGTCACTAGCCTCTGAGGTCCCAGAGCCTCCTCACAGTACCAGCTATTGGAGAAGGCTTGTGTTACTAGCCTGCCCATTTATAACTCCAAGAATTGTGCAGGGAGCCAAGGGCTGAGGGAGTGGATCTGTGGAATATACCCCAAGCCTGGGTTGCCATTCTCTGGGAAGAGATAATGATGGGCAAAGCTCTTAGCACTCCAGGGAGGCTCCTTGGAGACTAGAGCTCTAGGCTAAAACTGGGGCGGAGAAATCCTTACTTCTGCTATCCTCTGCTAGGGGGCAGCACCCCCTTGAGTGGACCTGGCCAGGGGCCCAAGAGGTACTGACCACAGGTGGGAAGGACGGTGAGGAGACACAGGCTGTGCAAGACTGTGAAGGCACAGAAGCTAAGCCCTACTGCAAGGTGCTGCTGCTGGCCCAGACTCACGCCAACAACACGGGCAGCTACCACTGCTACTACAAGTACATCAAGGCCAGAATTGAGGGCACCACAGCTGCCAGCACCTATGTGTTTGTAAGAGGTGAGGCAGGGTCCTGGAGGGAGTAGCTGGTGCCTATGCACTGCCTCCAGCCTGCTGACGCCAGGCTGGCAGGAGTGAATATGGGGCTGTACTGTGTGTGCTCCACACAGAAGCAGGAGACTAAAGCTTCACCACCCTGGCCCATGAGGCTCCCCTAAACTTCCCTCACCCCAGCCCTAGCCAGAGTCACCCTGGGCCACATGGCCTTACCCAACTCCTACTCCATCTCCTCAGACTTTGAACAGCCCTTCATCAACAAACCGGATACGCTCCTGGTCAACAGGAAGGACTCAATGTGGGTGCCCTGCTTGGTGTCCGTCCCCGGCCTCAACATCACACTGCGATCGGTACTGTTTCCTTCCCTAACCTCACCCCAGGTTCTCACCCTCCTGTGCCATCCCTGGGAAAGGCAGCTGACAGTTACTATGTCCCTCCAGCAAAGTTCAGTGCTGCACCCTGATGGGCAGGAGGTGCTATGGGATGAACGCCGGGGCATGCGGGTACCCACAACACTGCTGCGTGATGCCCTGTACCTGCAATGCGAGACCACCTGGGGTGACCAGGACTTCCTTTCCAATCCCTTCCTCGTGCACATCACAGGTAAGGGTGGCCACTTCCATCTCATCCCAGTCACCACTCAGCACACCAGAACAGGGCAGGCGTACTGTAACTCTGTGTCACTAGTTCCCAGTGGCAGGGCTGTCCGTAACTATTACCCACTGCTCTGCACTCTGTGTGTGTTGAGTGTGAGGAATGAGAAGTGTGGGAGGTGACACTGTGTGTGTCACCAGGCAATGAGCTCTATGACATCCAGCTGTTCCCCAAGAAGTCACTGGAGCTGTTGGTTGGAGAGAAGCTGGTTTTGAACTGCACGGTGTGGGCTGAGTTCAACTCAGGTGTCACCTTCGACTGGGATTATCCAGGGAAGCAGGTAAGGTCAGCGGCTCTGCCAGGTAGCTTCTTCCCACTGTCCTGTCCTCAGCACCACCCCTAGGACTCACCATGCCCATGCTACCTGTACCTGGCCCATACTGGGCCCCTGTGTGGAGGAGATACAGACTCAGGAACCCAAATGTGATAGGGAAGTTTTCCATCCCAAAGCCAACTCAGGCTGGGCATCCAGAGCTACTTATGTTTGGGCAGGGGTGTGTGCCTTTGCTGGGTTGGATCTGCCCCTGCCTGCCTGCCTGCTGATCCTGGGCTTCCCCTGGGTGTGGCAGGCAGAGCGGGGGAG